ACCCCTTGTTCTGTAATATAAAATTCTCTTAGGAAAACATGATCCAACCGAATATTTTATGGACCTATTTTGACCATCCATAATGCCTTTCAATCACCGCATTACACCGTTTTATGGCCACAAGCGCAACTTTTTAAAATTCAGTTGAACTGGTCTGAAACCGACTCCATTGCAGATATACCAAACTGATACTTTGCGATTCTTTAGATATCTCAGTACACACCAAAAAAGACTTACTCTTGCGAACTTGAATTAGATCCGGTCGCATGCCAATGAGGAAGCAGCGTTTGAGGCGACAAGCAGGACACTCGCGTCTGGTTGAGGGAGAAACTACGTGCTCTCCAGACTTGGAGGTGCAGGTCAAATCCTAGAAGGCGGACAGGCAAAAGGTAGACTATCTCCACACATTGCCCCAGCCCAGCAAACACAAGCTCCACCTGCAAGCTTACGCAACAAATGACAGAAAGTGGGAACCTTCAAAAGTTGGATGGGCACGCTCTTTGTGGATAAATTCTCCGTAGAACCACAAAAATATACTGCCCCCATATTTATTTATTTTGATGGGTTCTTTTCAGGAGAAATCGAAAACATGATGTCCACAGACTGTCATGAATTTCGAATTAAAATGTTCCTGGAGAAGTTTGGATTTTTAGTCGGTAGTAGGACCTTGTAGGGACTCACCGATAACGGAGGTGTGTAGGAGATTTTTGTAGGCGAGAGCGCTTTTAAGCGTGACAGGAGACAGAGGATCACAGACATCATCATATTGCGCAACCCACACACATGGGCACACAATGGCTCTGCCAAACAAACCATAGAGCGACGTGCTTAAGCAATGCTAACTGTCAGTGCGGGCTGTCATCATCAACATCACCCCACATCCTTTTGTGGCGCAGAACTCAAAAGTCATTCTTGCCAATGTGACGTGGATGGTATCATGATTGAAGACTGCTCGACACATCAGGCACTGACTAGTGGTTCTACACACTATCCAAAGTGTGTTCCCACAACACCACACGTCATAGCACAAAACAGCACAGCACATCCATAATTCATTTCTTCGCCCTATGTTTACACAATTTGGCATTGTTTATTGTTGATGAATTCCAAATTCGCATGGAGTTTTCAACCCCCTTTCAAAGTTTCCAATTACAAGCTGATTTGACTTTCAAGCGCCTCTTAGGATTGGGGTGAAAATAAAAAATCTTCAAGAGCAATAGATCGAGTAAACGGACCCCCTTTCTGGTGTAGAACTCTAGCAAATTACCACACAATATTCCAGACTATTCACATAAAACTTGACAGCCAAACTTGAAGGCGATTAAAAATAATCAAGTTAGTCTAACGATCTTTTGTTCTCTATCAAGCTCTGGGTGCGGTTGCCACAACTGTTACCACGTGCCTAACAGTGAGGGAGTAGAGGCTGTCAGTATGTGGTTCTTTGATGGTTTTTCACAGTCTTGGTTTCTACAATGATTTTAACATAATTACCAAATTATTTTATTTCCAGCTAGCGGCATTTGACCATGCTCCTACGACGCGGTTCCTGGTAGACACGTTGTTTATGCTGTCAAGTGTCTCATTCTCTCAAGTGATTTTAACACTCCTTACCGCAACATTGCCTCTCCAGGCAACATAACTAACATAATTAATGTAAAGTAATGTTTACTTTAAAAATTACCTTTTTTTAAATTGAATTTGCAGCAAAGTTTGGCTTATTAACGTACTTTGATTGTTTTGAAGGTGTTGCAGAAATGGGAAAAGACAGCCTTAGGCTAAGGAAACGTGATGGCAACTTGTGTATTGCCTGCTTAGATCTGTTTGTTTCTGTTGTACACAACCGCGAGATACCTTGTAGGGATAACAGCTATAGCAGTTGTTACGATTCTCCGCAAATACTTCTATTTATCTTGTGCGGCGAAATTTAGGGGAAAAGGTAATAGAGTAATGAGGAGCCAGCCACGCGCTAAATTGACACTCAAAGAGCAGGAAAATGGCAAGCGAAAAGGGGCCCTCCTCCAAAACTTACACGCAGGCCTCGTTGCAAAGCCTGCAGGTAGGCGTCCGTAGTGGTTGCGCAGTCACTGCTCTGTAGAGCTGCGCTTATCGAAGGTAGAGCCTTGATTTAGTTTGTGAAAAGAGGATGAGAGTGAGAAAGGTAACTTTCTGCCATGCAACCACGCACCTACAAGCCTATGACCACCAGCAATGTCTGTTCCTGGGCTAGTGAAATGTACCCATTCCAGAAGTGCTACCTGTTGCCTAGATGTGATTTCTATCGAAGTTCCCAAAGCGGTGAAAAACTTATGGCCCAGCTGCTTATTATATTGTCGCCATTCCTCCAATGGGACAAGATAAAGCTTCATTTTAATACTTTTTAACCCATATAAAGATATTTCAAGCCTCACACCAAGACAGGAATTACAAGAGTAATTTGTTAAATTCCTGAATTTATTGCCATGTATAGTAGTTTTCTTGTAGTTAGGATAACCATGAAAGAATATCCACAGTAGGCGAATGCCATTGAAGTTGGAAGACTGTTGCTGCAATACATGCATAAGAACTAAATGAAAATAATTTCTTGACTTTTTATTTTGGTTAACTTTTTGTAAATAAGATAGAATGATTGTATTCCGAATACGAATTTGCAGCGGTTTTGGAATCAGGGGCAATTCGACTATTTAGAGCTATTGAAAATGAAGGATACAACAGTCTCCTTTGAAGACTGGCACGTCATCTATCTCCTAATTTCTGTTAGCACAGCATGCAAAAGACAATGTCTATTTGCATTTGTCTTGGAATTTCAGCGATGGAGCTTTTCTACGACTAAGTAAAATTAGGATTCTGTTAAAAAAAGCTGCTGTGGATGGTCATCTCTTTTAAAATGCACTGATCCCTAATTCCCAGATATGTAGCTCAGGTCCCCACATGTTGCAAATCGCACTGGAAGTTGTCACGACAGAGTACCGGGAACCGCATTTATCTATCCCATCATACTCAAGCTGTTATGAAGCAGTTTTGAGATTCCTTTTTTATCCTTGTAGATGTAAAGGCTATTGGTTTAAAGCTCAGAACTTTCCGCATCTGTCAAGAAGGGGTAGCTATTTTGAACATTTAGGTTCACTTTTTATGACTGAAAGAAAAATGCCCTCATATGAAGATGAAATTGTGCTTACGAAACACTTGTCCACATAAAGAACATAAAGATTCACACTCATCTTTATCGCATGATGACATGTGACATAACACGACCAGACACAGCCTTTTGCTGCTCTCAACGCCATCTTGGAAACTCCTTTTCCTTCTTGAATAGTTAGCAAGAACGCCATCAAAGTGGGAGAATTACAATAAGAAGATAAGCTTTACGAAATGTGTGGAATACCGGCCGTAGCTCTGTCATTGGGAAAGTGTTTTCAAGGTGGACGAGGAAAGGAGGGTAGCGGGCAAGAGAGAACAGTTGTTGTTGAAAGTTTGGAGAAAGGTGAGTTGCCACATCATACACACTCTACTAACAAAGAATGAGTGTGGGAGGCGGGGAGAACTTTCACCCGAAAGAAAGTTATTTTAGAAGAGCTGCCCTTTTGAGCAATGAGTTGGTTTTCCAAAGCCATTGTTCACAAGACTACAGATCGTGTACCTCTGGCATAACCCCAATACATTATGCAAATCGTACTTCTCGAAATGCTTGACAATCTAGCCTATTTACAACTTATGGTAAGAAAAAGTGAAAATAATCTTGGGCTTCTTCAACAATACTGTAACAGGTACATTGTTATGGCCTTCTTTAATTGTGTCTGCTATGTTAACTCCCTTTTTACCTTCCTACACAAAATTTGAAGATTTCCATTATTTGTAGTGAAAAAGGCTAACTTCTAGCTAAATAAACCGAAGAACTTCAGGAATAGACGAAAGTAACTTTATTGAAACCTCCTCACGGTTTGACCACTCGCAATCCTAGATGTGAATTTTGTTTTTTTCTACAAAATAACATTTTCTACCAGGTAATGCTTTGCTTCTTGGTGGAAAAAAATTGGACAAAAATATTGCCTAGCGGAGAAATCGGACACCACGGGTAAAATCAGGTGGTTGTTGAATCAACTATATTTTTCGAAACGCCAACGAAGGAAGTTCACTTAACTAAACTATCTTTTGAAATGGACAAAAAAAAGTTTCTTCTTGAAATTAAATCCTTTAGTTCGGATTTTATGAGGAGGTTAAACCCGGACTCTCACGTAAACAAACCGTCCAGAGGAAAAATCCGAATTTTAAGACACTATTAAGGAATTAATACTTTGATGGGTAACTTCATCTCTTGATAAGCTTAGTGGCCATCCAAGGAGCCTAGCTCAAGCACCACAAGTGTTATTTAGCGATGCTATTAGCATCAATTGACAAAAGGGACCCACCTTATGAGCGTTCCTGCGGAAGAATGCCTTGCACGACTCACAGGTGAGTTGGCCAAAATTGTGATTAACCGCACGATCCCCACACACCCGGCACTTCTTTGTGGCAGCCGCCACCGTCACAGCTGATCCATTCATTCCCTCCAGAGAGCCTCCAAGGTCTCTAGGTGAATTGCTGCCATTAATCACTCTGCAACTCTCCTCTCTCTCGTCTCGCAGACCTCTAAATCCTGCCTTTCCACTAGCGGCGGTAATGGTGCCGGATCCGCTGCGTTTGCAGCCCATTGGAGGCATCTGACTGCGCCGAGGCTTCGTGTAGGAAGGAGATTGGTGAGGTTGAGAGAAATATGTTGTAGTTGGGAGAGATTCCCATGCGTCGTGCTGGTGGTGATGTTGTGAGGTTGGAGGCTGCACTGGAGTCTGTGGTGGAGCTTGCCAGGTGTCAGAGACGCCACGGAGTTGTAGGTAGTCTGTGGACAGTGGTGATGGAAAGTGTAAATTGGGCCCAGGGCCGGCGGCTGAAGAGGTTGTGATCATATAGGCTGCAGTAGAGGAGGTAGAGGAGGACTCAGGAGACATTGCTGCCGTGACAGGTTGTGGCGCGCTGGATAGATGCAGAAGGTTGGTGGGCTTCACGTCACTTTGATACATTTGTGGTGAAGGACCAGCACTCCAGCGGTTTCTGCATTTTTAAAGGCACAGAAATTAGCATCATTTACAACACCCTCCACCTCCTCACAATATCAGCCATTCATTCTCTGGAACCGACACACCTCGATTA